ACAATGATATATCACCTCACACCAGTAAGGATGGCCACCATCCAAAAGACAAACAACAACAAATGTTGGTGAGGATGCAGAGAAAGGGGAACCCTCCTACACTGCTGGTGGGAATGTAAATTAGTTCAACCATTGTGGAAAGCAGTATGGAGGTTCCTCAGAATGCTCAAAATAGAAATTCCATTTGACCCAGGAATTCCACTTCTAGGAATTTACCCTAAGAATGCAGCATCCCAGTTTGAAAAAGACATATGTACCCCTATGTTTACTGCAGCACTATCTACAGTAGCCAAGATATGTAAACAAAGTAAGTGTCCATCAGTAGATGAATGGATAAAGCAGAGGTGGTACATATACACAATGGATACTATTCAGCCATAAGAAAGAAACAAATATAAACCATTTGCAACAACATGGATGGAGCTAGAAGGTATTATGCTCAGTGAAATAAGCCAGATGGAAAAAGACAAGTATCAAATGATTTCACTCATATGCGGAGTATAAGAACAAAGAAAAAGGTGAAGGAACAAAATAGCTGCAGACTCAGAGAACCCAAGAATGGACTAACAAGTTACCAAAGGGAAAGGGACTGGGGATGATGTGTGGTAAGGGAGGGATAAGGGGGAAAAGGGAGCATTACTATTAGCACACATAATGTGGGAGGTGGCTTGGGGAGGACTGTACAACACAGAGAAGACAAGTAGTGATTCTACAGCCTCTTAATATGCTTATGGACAGTAACTGTAATGGGGTATGTAGGGGGGACTTGGTGATGGGGGGAGTCTAGTAAACATAATGTTCCTCATGTAATTGTAGATTAATGATACCAGAAAAAAAGGCCATCGTGCCTAAAGCATTCTATAGATTCAATGCATTCACTATCAAAATACCAACAGCATTCTTCAACAAACTAGAGCAAATAGTTCTAAAATTCATATGGAACCACAAAAGACCCTGGATAGCCAAAGCAATCCTGAGAAGGAAGAACAAAGCAGGGGGGATTTCACTTCCCAACTTCAAGCTCTACTACAAAGCCACAGTAATCAAGACAATTTGGTACAGGCACAAGAACAGACCCATAGACCAATGGAAGAGAGTATAGAGCCCAGATACAAACCCAATAATATATGGTCAATTAATATATGATAAAGGGGCCATGGACATACAATGGGGAAATGACAGCCTCTTCAACAACTGGTGTTGGCAAAACTGGACAGCTACATATAAAAGAATGAAACTGTATTATTGTCTAACCCCATACACAAAAGTAAACTCAAAATGGACCAAAGACCTGAATGTAAGTCATGAAACCATAAAATTCTTAGAACAGAACATAGGCAAAAATCTCTTGAATATAAACAATAGCAAGTTTTTCCTGGATACATCCCCTCAGGCAAGGGAAACAAAAGCAAAAATGAACAAATTGGAGTACATCAAGCTAAAAAGCTTCTGCATAGCAAAGGTCACCATCAGCAGAACAAAAAAGGCATCCTACAGGATGTGAGAAAATATTTGTAAATGACATTTCTGAAAAGGGATTAACATCCAAAATATATAAAGAACTCACATGCCTCAACACCCAAAGGCAAATAACCCTATTAAAAAATGGGCAGAGGACACAGAGAAGACAAGTAGTGATTCTATAGCATCTTACTATGCTGATGGACAGTGACTGTAATGGGGTTTGTGGGGGGGGACTTGATAATAGGGGTAGTATAGTAACCATAATGTTGTTCATGTAACTGTACATTAATGACAGCAAAAAAAAAAAGAGAGAGAAGTGGGCAGAGGATCTGAACAGACACTTCTCCAAGGAAGAAATTCATATGGTCAACAGGCACATGAAAAGATGCTCAACATCACTAATTATCAGGGAAATGCAAATTAAAAACACAATTAGTTATCACCTCACACCAGTTAGGATGGCCAACATAGAAAAGACTAGGAACAACAATGGTGGTAAGGATGCGGAGAAAGGAGAACCCTCCTACATTGCTGGTGGGAATGTAAATTAGTTCAACCATTGTGGAAAGCAGTATGGAGGTTCCTCAAAACACTCAAAATAGAAATACTATTTGACCCAGGAATTCCACTCCTAGGAATTTACCCAATGAAAACAAGTTCTCAGATTCAAAATGACATATGCACCCCTATGTTTATTGCAGCACTGTCTACAATAGCCAAGATATGTAAACAAAGTAAGTGTCCATCAGTAGATGAATGGATAAAGCAGAGGTGGTACATATACACAATGGATACTATTCAGCCATAAGAAAGAAACAAATCCTACTATTTGCAACGACATGGATGGAGCTAGAGGATATTATGCCCACTGAAATAAGTCAGGCAGAGAAAGACCAGTACCAAATGATTTCCCTCATTTGTGGAGTATAACAACAAAGCAAAACTGAAGGAACAAAACAGCAGCCGACTCACAGACTCCAAGAAGGGACTAGGGTTACCAAAGGGGAGGAGTGAGGGCGGGAGGGAGAAGGGGATTGTGGGATATCATGGTTGGTGCACGTGGTGGGGGGGGCGCTCAAGGGGAAGACAGTGTAGCTCAGAGAAGCAGGGACTCTGTGGCATCTTACTACACTGATGGACAGTGAGTGCAATGGGGTAAGGGGGGTGGACTCGATAATAAGGGTGAATGTAGTAACCACATGGTTTTTCTTGTGAAACCTTCATAAGAGTGCATATAAATAATACCTTAATTTAAAAAAAGTGGTAGAGGTCACTCATTAGAGCAGGGAGACAACATTTAGCCACACATGGGATGGGGATGGTCTCTGAAGCCGGGATTATTTCAGTTCCACGGCAAACAGGGACATTCTCCACATTTCTAAGTCTCTAGTCGTAAAATGCTGGGAACTCTGGTGCGTTGGTGGTCTCCATCAAGTGTGGACTCGGAGTGAGTAGCTCAGACTCTACACCTCAGTTTCTCATCTGTGAGATGGGAGTGACAGTGCCTGCTTCACAGATTTTAAGAGTTTAAATGAGAAAATGACTAGAGAGCGTTAAGCACAGTGTTTGGCTATTAGCAAACATTCAATAAATGCTAGTGGCCGTTACGTTATTAATATTATATCAGTTCGTACAGAGCCGACGTTCTTGGTGGCTAACTTGATAATTACTTGTCGTGGTCCTTGGTAGTGGGCGGTGCGGGGAGAGCGGAGCCTTCGGGCGGACGCCGCGAGCCTCCTCCGGCCACACGGTGGAGCCGGAGGGTCGGGCGGAAGCGCCCGCTCGGGGCCCCGCCCCGCCCGGCCCGCCCGGCCCCGCCCGGCCCCGCCGAGGAGAGACCCGGGGTTTCCCCTCCTGAGCCGGCTCCCACGCACATGCGGGCCCGGGGCAGAGGCGGCAGCTTTGGGGCGTCCGCCGCGACCCTGGGTTCAACTGGCAGGGTTTGCTACGATCGCCACAAACACACCTGTGCCCAGTACAGATTGTGGCGTCACCCCTCAGTGCCCCGCCGGCAGACCTGCTCGGGCAGGCGCGGGGTCCTGGAGTTAACGTGGCGCGCCCGTAGGGCTGCTGCCAGTGCCAGGAAAGGGAAAAGGGCCAGCCCGAGCCCCCACCGGACTAGCCTTTAGCGGTTTCCGGGAAGCAGCGCAACACGCAGGACCTCGCTGCATTTGGTCGGATGGTGCAGAGCGCACCAGGGCTCAGGCTTCGGGCCCCCATCTTCTCCAGCCTGGGCCCCAAGCCCCACCCCGGACCCTCAGGTCGTCCTTAGCGCCCCTACTAGGGAAACGGCGCCACCCGAAGCCTGCCAGTTCTCTCCCTCACTGGCTTAGTCAAGTTCTCATTATTCCTTTTCTTCTTCATCCTTTCATTTCAGGGCTGGCCGTTCCTTTATTTGGGGATTTGGTAAATTGAACATTACTTAAAAGTACCTACCTTTTAATGCTGAATTTGTTCACGGTGATGCCTAATGGGATAGAAGCACTCAGTCTCTTGAAATACTTGTCTGCGCAAGGCTAAAAACTTATGTTTTCATCTTGGGAAGAAGGCTTAGATTCCAGCCCCTCCGCCACAGACCAGCTATGCGGCTTAGGTGAGTTCCTCTCTGAGCGTCCTTTCCACGGGATATTAAACTCAAGTACTTCCCCGGCCCTGATCTCGCGAGAGGTGGCAGCGACTGGGCCAAAGATGAGATCTCTTGCTGCTGTCGCCGGACACGTTCTCATTCTCATTGGCACCTGGCATCCGGGTCATCCCTTAGGAGAAGCTAGCAGACTGCACCTCCTGGGGCATCTCTACCAGGAGTAGAGGATGGTGGGCCAGACCCTGCTGCTTCACTTGCTCTGCCTTGGGAGCATTTTGGTGGAAGAAGTGGCTGTGCCCCTTCACTTTTGTTTCAGGTCTCAGAACACCAGGGGAGGAAGTTTGAACAGATTCTAACATCTAGTTAAGAACGTTGAACCTAGAGCTTGTCAGGGAGGCCTGAGAGGATCCAATAGGCCTAATGTGTCAGACCTTGTACAGCTGGACAAACTGAGGCCCAGACTGGGGGGAACAGGCTTGTTCAACTCAGAGTGCCCAGAGTCAGGGCTTGGGGCCAGAGTGCCTGACTCCTTTCTGTTTTCTGGCTACATAGGTGAGCTGGCAGTCTGGCTTATCCTGCTCTTGTTCAGCTTGTGGGAGTTGCCATCTTTATGAAATTCATTTAAGAAGTAAGATTAGTGCCCACCTGCTTAGTTAGCTTTGTTGTCTAGCTTTTCTTCGGCCTGGAAAACCCCCCTGATCAGCCTTTTCCTTACTGTAGCCAACTGAGGAAATACTCCAACCTTTGGAGGCTGGCCACATGCCAGTGTCTACACCACCTGGTGTTTGTGTTTGTATTGGGTGGAGGGTGTCCCTAGGAGCCACCAGGAAGTTCACTGACTGGTCATGGAGTCCCATCTTGCTCATGGTGGCTTCCCAGGTATGGCCAGAAAAGGATGTCAGCCCAGTTCCCTCAGCTGGGTTTCTTTACATCATCCATCCTCAGCTTTCTGCCCAGCTCAGTATTTTCTGTTTATGGAGACTCCCTAAGGGGACCCCTAATATTCTATATTTTGGGGACCATCAGTTGATAAACCAATTTGTTGGGGAGCCCTGAAGAAAATGAGGGCCGTTTTACAGGCACACGGATTTGGCCTGGAATTAGAAAGCTCAGCAACAGTCTCAGAATCTCCACCTCTTTTGTACTGCTGACACCTGGCTTTCTCACTTCTATATATTTATAACTCAGAACTTGGTTTGCATATAGCTTTGGTTTACGTGGCCAGACTCAATGGCATTCTAATTTTAAAAGTCCCATGGGTAAATGCATAACATATTTCTTAACTCAAATTCCTGATCCATGCCAGCTCAGGGATTGGCTGCCCTTGGATCACAAGCCCACTATCCAATCAGCTGTGTGGTGGTAGGTCACATGGATGAAACATGGCTGTCTTAGGAACACAATCTACAGACAAGAGTTTGGAGGCATTTGGAAGCTTGAGTTACCTAAAACAGAAACTCAAGAGTTATAGGTTACCTTAGTCACCAACTAAGAATTGGGCATGAATCAAATGGCAGGAAGATATTACACAAAAGAAAGATTTTTATTGTTGTCTTAGTATCCCTGTGTGAAATGAAGGGCACGAGACAGACTGTTCACAGTGCAACTTAGACCTTCAAGAAGCATTTTGCAAAGACCGGCCTGCTCAGACTGTTGCTTCCAAGCTGGCAACCCTCTAGCCCCTGGCCTTGCTATTTTACCACCTGGAGATGCCATGGTTCCAGCCACACACAGCTGGGCATCTTCCACATGGACCATGTGAAATTATGCAGAAGAACTTTATGTAGTTTGAGGCTAAACAGAGCCAAATTAGCAAATCTAAGCCCCAAATGGGATACCTCCCTGGAACATTTGGGCCTGTCACACATTCCGGGAGGGAGCAGCACAGCTGCAGCCACAGCTGCCAGGAACCACCCAGGGCTCCCGCCCTGGGTCAGGGGGTGGGGAAGGCTGGAGGGCTTCCTCTGGAGGCCCTGTGTAAGCGCACACTCACCCCCACACTGACTTCATCCATTTCAAGGCCGCTTGGCTAAAAGCCCAGGCAGTGTGAGGGGCTTTCTCCCAGAACAGGCCCTGGGCCACCTAACAGAGGTGGGGGAGGGGCAAGTCTCAGGCCTGGCCCAGGATCCCCAGAAACCAGGGAGTGACTTCTGAGCTCTGAAATGCCAGAAGATTTTAAGAAAAAAAAAGTGGTGGTGGTGGGAAGGGTAGTTGTGGTAGCTGTACTTTGCTATTAAAAGGTAGAAAAATTTCAGGAAGTAAAAGCTTTTTTCTCCATTTGTTCTTTGGCAGTGCCATTAGAGAATTCCAGGAGGCTTTCAGATGACATCATGTCTTACAACTGAGAAATCTCAGTAATTCTGTGAAACGGAGCCCCTGCCTGTTCCATGTTTCCAATGGAAGCTGTTTTATATTTATGTGTTTAAAGCTGTTTTATGTCATATTTAATGAGAGCTTAATATTCTTAACTATCTACCAAAAGTAGATTATAATGCATGAAGACCCATAAAATGAACTTCCCTTCTTAGCATCATGAATTTTTGGAATACAGAAGGTTCAGGGATGGATATTATAAGTGAGAAATGTACAGTAAAAGTTTGCTTAAAAAAGTTTAAAACTTGATTTTTCCTCCAAAGTCCAAATAATTGTGGTCTCGGTAGGAACCATGAATGAGGGTAAAGCCTTCATATAATCACTGCTTTGATAAGAATGAGTTCATATAAGACTGTATCTCCTAAAGAGTGTGCAAGACACATGCATCACACACACAAGCACATACACCCACAGGGACAGACACACAGCTGAGTTTTCTAGGCACTTCATATCCACATCATAAAGTCTGGCACTTTCCCATGACATTTGACAAATTACTTCTTTGGAGGTAGGACATTTTCTTCAAAGAAACCCTGGTTGACGACATTTCCTGCTGGGAAGTATCTGGCCACCACAAAGGAGGACCCATCACTTGCAGATGCCTTTCCCACTCCCATCTTTTTTGTATTCTTCCAGACCATGGCTGTGAAGTGTCCTGCAGGGGGCAGGTGGGGGACAGGGGAACAGGTTAGTTAGCAGAGCCTGGAGAAAGCTGTTTCAAGGGATTCTGGAACACCCGCACCATCTTGCTGGGCTTGGAAAAGCTTGATCTTCACAGACACCCATCAAAGGAAGGAGACACAAAACACCCAACAGTCTGACTTCCCGTTTCACGGTCTCCTAGAGACCATGCCAAAGCCACGTGACCCCAGAGGTTAGGATGCCACCTACCTGGCACCTGCCTCCACCCCTTCCCCCAGGCCCTACTCTTTGAGGTCACCAGGGACCTCCATGTTTCTCCCAAGCGGTCACTTTTGTCTCCATCTTACTTGACTCTCAGAAACATTTAATAAGTCGCCTCCTCCCCTATTCAAAGCACTCTCCTCTGGTGGTTTCCCTTACTCCTTCTCACTGCCTCTTCCTCCTCTTCCATCCCACTTGTAAAGGCTCGAGGGCCTGCACTTCCCAAGGCCCAGTCCTGGGTTCCTTTCCTGTTGCACTCTTTAGGCAGTCTGATCTTTCCCTGGCTCCCAAATTTATTTCTTCTCTGTGTTCCAGACAAAACTACTTCCTTCACATTTCCACTTAGATGACTCACAGCCATCTCAAATTTAACCTATCCAAACTTCCCCCTTGACTTTGGTCCCTCCAGGGCTACTGCCCACCTCTCCTCCCTTTCCCCTTAAAGGTGCCCCTGTGCACACAGCCCCAGGGGTTGGTCTGCAGTCCTCCTCCTCCCTCACTTTCCCCCACAACAACCCATCATTCAATCCTGAAGAATCTAACTCCAAAATACATCTCCAGTCCATACATTCACCAAACCTTAGTCCCAACCACGGACTTTTCTCACTTGGACCACTGCTCTGGCCCTCGAATGGTTCTCTGGCATCCACCTTTGCCTCCTCCAAGTCATTTTCTACTTAAGTAGCCAGAGTGATCATTTTGAGACAACAGTAATACCTGTCTACTTCTCTGCTTTAAAATCCTTCAGTTGCTTCCAACTGCACTAGAATGAAAGTGAATACTCTGGTGGCCTTCTTTCCATTCCCTGAACACATCAGGTTATTTCCCGCCGTGAAGCCCCTGAATACAGCTGGTCACGAAGTGGAACGCTCATCCGATGACCAGCATCTTCTTCTCCCTTAGGGCTCAGCCTACATGTCACTTGTTCAGAGAAGCCTTTCATAACCACCCATTCCCTGAATACCTCCTCCCAAGATCATCTTATCACACCCTGTTTTTTTATACCACTCTATTTGCAATGATACATGTGTTTGATTACTTGCTTGGCTCCTTCACTAAACTGAGCCCTATATGGGCAGGAGCCAAACTGCTTTATTGCCCCCAAGTCTACCCAGTACCTTGGCACAGCCTGGCATGTGAAAGTGGGAAATAAACTTTTGTCAAATGAATGAGTGGAATAAATGAGTGAATGGCTGAGTCAATGAATGAAAGGCATATGGAAGAACCATCTTGGACTCAGGTTCTGCCCTCACCAGATGTGCAGGACTTCTATGTTTTGAGTTCTTTGAGACCTTGACAAGTCAGAGCTTCCTTTAATTTCCTCTGCTCTGAGCCAAATAGCCCAGTTCCTTCTCAAGCTGCTGCTTCACCTTCCAGACCCTTCTGGCTTGCTGAAGCTCCTCAGCATCAGTGTCCCACTGCTCAAGCTGCCTGCCCCTCACTCACTGGTTCTTTCAAGCTACTAACATAGCTCAGCCTCCACTCCCCTCCTGCTTTGGGGTCACAGAGTTGATGCTGTAAGGTACTCTTTGTTTGGTGACCATAATCCTTCTTATCTCCTGGGAGCAGAGGTTAGGAATTCATTTCTCCCACCTTTACTGTTAAGGATTCACAGAGACCCTCTGACAGGTCAATACTTAACTTCCATTTCACTGGATGGCACTCTTTTGCTAGAACAACCCTGGGGAAACCATGTTTTCCCCCTGACGCAGGCACTACATCTGTCTTACAGAAACCGTACCTCTAGCATTTAGCACTAAGCTTGGCACATGGTAGATGCTCAGTAATATCTCATGAAGAATGGAAGAAGCAGAGGGAGGGAGGAAAATCACAATCAGAATAGCTTAACCACCCAGTGGGATGCTTCCCACTGGGTGGTTAAGAAAGAGGGTAACTACTTTACATCTGTCAGGCTGGATATTTTTTTAATAGAATATAACAAATGTTGGTGAGGACAGAAAGTGGAACCCCTGTGCGCTGCTTATGGAATGTTAAATGGCACAGCCACCGTGGCAGACAGGACGGTAGTTCCTCTGAAAACTGAATACAGAATTGATATGATCCAGAATTTCCACTTCTAGGTATACACCCCAAAAAACTGAAAGCAGGGACTCAGATATTTGTACATAAATGTTCATAGCATCATTATTTATAATAGCCAAAAGGGGAAAAAATCCAAATGTTCATTGATAGAGCGACAGAGAAACAAAATGTGGCATATACATCAAAGAAATATTATTCAGCCTAAAAAGGAATTCTGACACACAGTATAACCTGGATGGAAACCTGAAAACATTATACTGAGATGAGCCAGACACAAAAGGGCGAATAGTGTATGATTCTACTTCTAAAAGTTACCTAGAATAGTCAAAATCAGAGAAACAGAAAGTAGAACAGTAGGAGAGGGATGGGAGTTATTGTACAGTGGGTACAGAGCTTCAGTTTGGGATGATTACAAAGTTCTGGAGATGGTGGTGATGTTTGCACAATAATGGAAATGTACTTAATTACTTAATTCCACTGAACTGTATACTTAAAAATGATTTAAAATGGTAAATTTTATGTTAAGTATATTTTACTGCAAAATTAAAGAAGGAAACAAAAGGAGGAAGGAGGGAAGCAAGGAGTGGAGAGAGGGAGGCTGTATCCTCACTCTTCCTACCCAGGAGACAAAGTTGGCATTTCCCATTGTGTCTTATAATATGGGAAGGACTGAATAAATGCTCACAGATCAAACTGTGGGGTTTTTTCCCTACAGATAAACTTCATTTTTATAATTTTTAAATAGTTTTTGTCTACATCCATAGGACTTGACATTACTAAATTCTTTATGAAAATAACCAAACATAAACACTTATCAGTAGAGCTGCTGTGATATGATCAGAGCAGGCAAGCAAACCCTCATTACAATCATGCACTTCATCACTTGCTCTTAAGCTTGTATTAGCTGCTGCCCATTAACTCTGTCCCCTCAGAAGAAACACTTCTTGCCAACTCACCCTGGTCCCTGGACCTCTGAGTCTCAGCCCCAGGCTTCCTGCAGCTTTGCCAGGTGCCACTGGTCTCAAAGGCTCTCTTTTCACTAAGGCTCAAGCCCTTCTACATATAAGCCTTTTCTCTCAAGAGACTATACACTTTGGCCATTGACCCACCCATGCTCTCCGCTGCCCAGACAAGGAAGAGCTGCTGTTTGCCCGCTGGTTGCCAAGAAAATGATTACAGACACAACGTGCACACCGGAAGTGTGAAAGCCTCTGGAGGCCCTTTGCAAAGAGATGAGACAAAGTAATCTTTCTTCTGGTGGGGGAGGTTTCTGTCTATGCAGAGATAATTATGGATGGGTATTTAGAGATGGATTGAAGGATACAACTTCCCTAGCAACCATCAGATACACACTAACTCTAACTCTGAACTACTAACAGAACTTCCTTCTTAAGGGATCACATCCTCCTTCCTGCTATGGACTGCAACTGCCTGGAACAGATATTTGAAAAACACATTAAAAGTTACAGTATATGCTTGCAAGGGAATCATACATGACGGTGAGAAAGAATGCCACAACTCTTCCTGTGCTGACATGGAGCAGTATTTAACAATGAATGTGCGGTGTGACAGAAGCCAAGTGCAACACAGATCTTCCATCTGACACCAGAGTATAAACAACAGAAAAAGAGAACCTCTTTATACAAATGCTGGTAGGAGCTCAGCATAGCTCTAGAGTGATACAAGAGAAACTGGTGTCATTGGTTGGGAGGAAAGTACTGGAGGCCAGGGAGGGAAGGAAGAAATTTCACCTTATACAGCATGCAAGTATCACGTCTTCTAATGCTTATTCAGAATAAATAAATAAACAAATCTGCTCATTAAGATAGAACATAACAAGGAATTGCAAGAAACTGTCTTTTTCCACTCAGCACATAGTATAAAACTGTGTCATTCACAAGATGCTGAGCCAGAGTGTGGGGGGACAGATCATAGGATATTCAGAAGCCCTTTCACCTGTAACATGGACTCAGGCTGGGGAATCCCTGAATAGTGGTGCGACAAGCGGCAGCTCAGGGGAAGGCCGAGGCAGGGGAGATGGCTCTAAGGATCTTTAAGGATCTAGTGATCATAACACCATCCAAAGCTGTGTTCTCCTCTTAGGATCAGGCTCTGTCTGTCCCCAAGCATTGCCCACTGCCATCTGGGATGGCATGGGGCTAGTTGTTCTGGGTTTTCCTCTTCAGGGGTGGGAGAAGTGGGGCAATAGGTGGGACAGGTTGTCAGTGATCATGGAAAGTTGAGTCCTACCCCCAACTCTGACACTTCCCATTTTGGAGCAAGAGCCATGGAAAAAGCATCAGACTGAGGAGAGAAAGTATAAGATTAGTCTTTTCCCCCTTCTGGGCCCCAGTTCCCTCCTCTGTAAAATGGGTGGAATAAAGCCCTCCCTTCAAATGGCGATGCAAGGCTTATGAGGCCATGATTTGGAGGCGCTTTGTAACTGTTAGGGGTGCGCACATGAGCAACACTAGTAACTTGCTCTGACGCATGTCCAGTTGCTAGTGAATCTTGCTCATGCGAAAAGCAAATTCAGATGCTGTGAAAGAAAATGTCTCCTGGACACGGATCTTTATGAAAAGAAGACAAGGTTCTGCCTACACACCCCTAATCACTGGTATGAAGTTCTTAGTGTGCCTCCCTGACCCCTCAGATTTAATTGCCATAGAGCCAGGACCCTGAAAGAGGCCTTCTTATTCCCAGCCTGGAGAGCTGAGAGGAGACATGCCCCAGTGGATGTTTCTACCTCTGCCGTCACAGCTCTGCCCACACACTTGCAGAAGTCCTGCCCAAAGGGTGAGCGGAAACCACAGGAAATGGTGACTGGCTCGGAGAACATGTCACTTTCTGCCTCTGAACAATCATCCAGGGGGTGGGAGGCTATAGGTGGCTCCACCCTGGGTGGGGTGGGGTGGAGTAGAGGAATGGGGGTGGGGGGAGAACACCCTTCCCAGTTTCCTGGGTGCCTTCTGGTCAGAGAAATTTACAGCCCCTTCCAACCCATCCTGGCCCCAGGTGGCTCTGAGCAGGTTTTGAGGAAAAGACAGGAGCCTAGTGAGGGGTGGGATGAAGCCCAGAACTCAGAGCTGCTTTGGTAAGCTAAATGTTACTGCTCACTGTGGAGGCCTCTGAGAAAGGCTACGTGACCTCACAGCTGGCTCCTCCTTGCCTCTAAATACCAGTTCTCAGAATGTCCCATGGGGGACAGCGCCTTGTTCCTCTCCGTCGGAGACACTGAAGGACAGCAAGTTGACCCAAGATCACATAAGTGAGGGTGTCCAAGCTGAGACTAGACCCAGATTCAGATGCTGTGAAAGAAAATGTCTCCTGGACACAGATCTTGATGAAAAGAAGACAAGGTTCTGCCTACACACCCCTAATCACTGGTAGGAAGTTCTTACTGTTCCTCCCTGACCCCTCAGATTTAATTGCCATAGAGCCAGGACCCTGGCTCACCCCTTCAGCAGCCAAGCTCACCAGAACCACAAACTAGAGCATAAAGATGAAAGCAGAATGCCTGGGAGGCTGTGATGCGTGGGAAGCATGGCAGGGAGGATGTGGGGTGCCAAGGGAGTTCAGACCAGGAGGGTGAGCAGCTGGGCCCTTTTCCTGATGGCCCCAGGAAGCCATTGTTTGCAGTTTAATCCAGAGAGCAACAGGAGTAGAGAGGGTTTTAGAATAGTCTAGCTGCTGGGGAGCAGGCTGTTTGGCAGGAGCAAGACTAGAAGTAGGATGCCTGGTGAAAAGTCTGAGGTACCCCCTCTGGAAGGAAGCACTCAGCAGCTTTTAACTCTGCAGCCTTCTCAGGACAGACCCCAGTCATGTGCAGAACTCTGAGCTGGTGGGGCAGGAATCAGCAGCTCCAGTGCTCTTCGATGGAGGGTGAGTGTGTGTTGGGAAAGGTGATGGGGAGGAGAGTTTTGCCCTTTAGGCAAAGTCAAACCAGAGAAATATGGAAGAGGTAAAACAGGAGGGAAATGATTGATTTTCAGAGTGTTAGCCTCTTTCTGAAATCGGACCCCTGACCTGCAACCCTGCCCAGGGCCTGGCCACTCACCAGTCCCAGAGGTGAAGCCAGGTTGCTGGAAGTTGTAGCTCTTGATTTCACTGTACCATCTATCAGCCACCTCCTTTCCTGCATGGAAAAGACACTGTTTAAAACTTGGGAGCCAAGATCAAGCCAGTCCCTATTCCTTCCATCTTGGCCATTAACCCCGAACCACCTCTCCCACAAGTCCAAGTCTGACAATGAGCTGAAACAGGGACTCCTGTCCCCGAGCATATCCAGGGCGAAGAGAGGGTCTAGTTGGGAGTTGGGAGAGGCCTGGCCGGGGCTCAGGGGGGCCTGCATCTGTGTCCCTGCCCTGCCCCTAATTCACTGTGTAATCCTCGGCAAGGCTTTCCCCTCTCTGAGCCTCTGTACAAGAGGGTTGAATACAACATATGGCAAGGGCTTCTAATGATGCGCCGAGTGTCAGGGAGACTCCAACCTCACCCCACGCCAAGGCTGGTTCCTGAAATAATCCACAGGAGAAAAGCAACTGGGCTGGTGGGCCAGGGTCTGCACTGCAGGCAGAAGGTTCCTCACCTGGAAGGCCCACTGGGAACCTGCAGCATTGCCCTGAGACATCTCAAGGCCGGAGCTAGAGCCTGGGACCTCGGAAAACTGAGTGGTGAACTTTAATGTGTGCACGATCTGTCTGAGGCTCTGTTAAAATGCAGACTCTGTCTTCAGTAGGTCAGGGGTGGAGCCTGTGAGTCTGCATTTCTAACAGGTTCCTAGATGATGCCACTGGTCCATGGACCACACATTGAGTAGCAAGGCCTTAAAGAACAGAGGCTACATGCTGGCCTCATCTGGGGTATATTTAAAAATCCCTGATGCCTCGGGCCTGCCACAGACTGATTGTATCATGTCTCTGGAGGAAAGAACTAGGCATTGGCATGTTTTAAAAGCTCTTCAAAAGATCCCAGTGAGCAGCCAGAGTGGGGAACCACTGCCTGAGAGCCTGCCTACCCAGCCCCCTCTCTAGAGACGGGGAAAACGGCCCGAGAGGGTAGTGATTTACTCAGGGCGCCACAGGGAGTCAGCACAAGGCCAGGATGGAGCCGTGTCTCCTGCTGGTCTTTTCCCATTCCTTCCCTTCTCCCTGGGGCTCCTGCCTTCCCCAGGAGCATGCACACGCCTCTCCTGGAGGGCTGCTGAGCTGGGGAATACATGAGGACGGGAGGGCCTCCCCTGGGAACTCCCAGGAATGCGAGGCCTGGGGAGGGAGAGGCGCTCTCCCGCGGGGTCTGGAGGAAGCTTCCGAGGGCGAGGCAGTGCTCGCCAGCATTTTTCCTAAAAAGCCACGACAGCCCAGTCAGAGCCAGGGAGCTCAGGAATGCTCGGTCGGTGTGGCTGGGATCGCCATTCCAGGCTGTGACCTCTGAGAGAGGAATTGTCTTTCCCATTATTATTATTTCTTTTACATGGAAAAAGCTCTATTGCATTTTTCTGATAAAAATAGAGACACCAGCACTGTAAAAAAAAACAATACACACACACACATATTTATCATGATAGTAACATTCTTCTGTAGTTAGGGATACTTCAGTGCCCACGGGCTCAGGCTGAGACTGCACAGAAACGGTCTGTCTCCCCCACCCCCTCCTCAGCTGGAAGCTCTTCCAAAGGAGGGGGGAGGCGGGCAGTCTGACTCATCTCTGTGTCCCTGACACCAGCACAGGCCTGGCGCTGAGCCTGCATCAGAGACCTAGTGGTGAACTGCAGTCAGCCCCCGGGAGCAGACAGGAAGCTGGGGGTTCCTTTCCCTTTCTGGGCCTGTGGCTGCACCACAGAGGGCGCTGAGGCCGGCAGGGGCCTGATCGGTGGGCGTCCTGGGCCTGGCTCAGGCAGAGGGGAGGGGGGCTAAGAACATGACCCACCTGTTTGATCATAGGATGCCCACGCCAGATTCTCTCCACACTGGCCGCGACTGGACTCTGGGCTGTGCTTGAGGATCCTCGTGCTGGCCAGGGCCTCCGAATACCTACCAGAGTCCATGGTGTTTCCTCTGGGTGGGAGCAGCCCAGGGAAGCCCCAAAGAATAAGCCCTAGCCTGGTGTGGCTCAACTTCCTTCTGCACCCCCGGCTCGCTGAGGAAATCAGGAGCACATCGGCATCTCTTCTGAGCATCGCCTCCCCCAAGGGCCCCATTTTACAGAGAGGCAAACTGAGGCCCACAGGCCCAAAGGGATGCCTAGGTGAGTGGGAGAGTAGTTATTCGAGTCTGGCTTCATCTGCCTGCAGCCGCCCCCAACTCCCTCCATGACTGCGGCAGCAGTACCGTGAGGGGCCCGAGTCACTATGGGGCACTGAGGGGACTCACTGCTGAGCCTCCTGGTTGAGCTTCTTGCAGAGCTTCAGCGGGGGGACGCCATGCCGCTGCCGGTACTCGTTGTGAGCCTTCAGGACCTCATTATTGAACTGCTTGGAAGCTGCAATGATTTCAAAATGGAGACTATCTCAGTGCAGAGAAAAGACTCCTGAAAGTAAGACGGCAGGCTTCAGAGTAATTGCCAGCTCAAGCCTCAGGCCACACGGACAGGCTGCTGTCCCCTTTCACCCCAGCCAAACGGGCAACCATGATATTCTGCTCCACACCTTCTCATCCTGTCTCCACGCATGAAGTCACCTTCCACATCTCTGCAAACCTACACCTCATGGGCTCTGTGGGCCTCCCAGCCCTGTCAGCAATGTGGGTCTGTATCTAAGGCAATGGGAAGTGGAGGAACGGGAACAGGGGCATATGCTGATGAGATCTGTGTTTCTGAAAGACCCTGCTGGCTGCCCAGTGGAGGACGGGCTAGAAGTGCACAGCAGATGGTGGGAGGCTGGACAGTGAGCAACAGGACTTCTGAAAGAAAATGTTTGAAGGAGACTGCATCTCAGACTGGACCTATTGTGTGTGGTGGGGCCTGGGAATGGCTGGAGGTAGGAGCCCGGAGAGAACGGGCCTGGCTGTGGTGCAGGGGGGCCTTGCACCCATCTGTTGAAACCAAGAACACAGAGGGACAGATAAAGAAAAGAGGACCAGGGAAGGACAGCACTGGAGAGGTGGGGTGAGGGGGGAGTGTAGGAAAGCCCACGGTTGTGTTGAGGGGCAGGCTGTGATTAGCTGGCCCAGGGCTGCAGTGAGGGAAGAGATACAGCCCGTGCCTAACTGAGGCAAGACCTCAGAAAGGGCCAGGTCAAGGGGCCTGGAGTTAAGGAGAGAGGAAGTGAGAGAAGCCAAGGGTAGGCAGGTCACAGTGGACAGAAGCAACACCAATTTGGATCTGAAATGGAAGCCCAGACATTCCACATCCTCCATCCACCTGTTGGTTCACCGTCATTTCAGCAGCAGCGTGCATCCACCCATCATCCAAACATCCGGTCATCTGCTGAGCACCTCCTCTGTACCAGGCCCCGCCCTGTGTGCAAGGGGGCCAGGGACAAGTCACCAGGTCCTGCCCTCAAGGAGCTCACACAGGGAAGGGACAAAGCTTTGCAAATGGACACTAGCAAACGTGCGACAGGGCCAAGGTGCAGGCAAACGGGGGCACAGGTCAAGAGGAAGTTGGAGAAAAGCAACCCAACCTGGCCTGAAGGATCAGGAAGGTGGCCCTGATATGAGGCCCAGAGATGTCTGGGCAGGAGCTGGCCAGGCTGAGACCGTGACGGCCCTGGATGCCAGCCCTCGGGGTCTGGGGGTCTCTGTGGGAATGGGGGTGCCTGAGACAACTTGAGTGGGGGCCACAGAGGGCCTCTAAACTGAGCTGGCCCCAGTGGGAGCCTGCCTGTCCCTGAGGCCTTGCCATGGGCAGCGAGGGTACAAACTGGAGGCTGGCCGAACACCACTCCTCCCGCCGTCCTGGGCCAGCCTTCTCCTCTGCTGTCTTCCAACCCCAGGCTGAGGAGATGACCCGACGGGGGTACCCTTCCCCTCCCGCAGTCAGATCCCCTGCCCCTCAGCCCTTCAAGTCACACCCCACAGCGGCCTGTGAGGGGAGATGGGGTGGAGGAAGGAGACCCAGGCCTCCCCTCAGGGGACTTTAGGCTACAAGGGGCAAAGGTACCTGCAGGCCTAACAACAATGGTCAAGCTGTCCAAGGGGTTTCTGGTCAACTGAAGAGTGAGTGGTGCTGACCTCGAATACTGTGGGGTCAGCGGAGCAGTCCAGTGAGGCCAAGTCAAGGTAACGTGGAGTGGGACAAGGATGGGTAGGGGGCACTGAATGCCAGGACTTCAGAGGTTTTGGTTGTTGGGCAGGAATAAGGAGATGTTGCGAACCAAGGCAAGGAGGGGAAAAAATGTGGCGATGGTAGCTGGTCACAAGGTGGAAGGCAGAGCTACAATCTCAAGTCCAAATCTCTGAGGCCGAGAGCTGGACCAAGCCTTTGGTTTGAAAGACAAAGTTTTGTGGGTTTATTAGAGGGAGAGGTAAACAGGTACTGGTTAAAAGCATAGAGTTTCAGATTTACAAGACAGAGAAGTTCTGGAGATCTGTTTTGCAACAATGTGAATATTCTCGACACTACTGAACTGTATACTTAAAAATGGCCAAGGTGGTCAATTTTATGTCAAGTACTTTATAATAATAATAAAAGAAAATTTGGGCTTTTAGTATGTTAATGTGGTATTTGGAATAATGGAGTCACAAAGATTTGTTTTACTATCTCAATTAGAAATGGTGGAAGGCAGAGCAACTCGAGAGAATCAAACTGGGGTCTCGTTGACAATATGCTAAGGAGACAGCAGAGTGGCATGGTTGCCAGAAACCTGCAGGCTTCTGGGTGATGCACTCCAGGCCCTGCACGAGTCCGTGCCCAGCTGGAATGCCTCACCCAGGCCGGCCCCAGCCTTATGTGAGAGGCGGCGACAGTCAAACACAGTGATGAGGTGGAGAAGGGGCTGGAAATGGGTCTTACAAGGAATGGGTCAAGTACTGGGTATGTTCATCCTGGAGAAGATCACACTTCGGAAGACACTGTGGAGGCCTGGAGGCCCCTGGTGCATTCTGGGGCCCCAGAGGGCAAAGTTGGGACCAGTAGGTGGAAAGGGGAGGATGACAGATTTCAGCTCACTCAAATGAAGATCTTTCCCTCAACCAAAGCCTTCTGAAGATTGACAGGGCTACCTCACAAGGTCGTGAGCTCTCTGGCACCAGGGAATACAAGCAGGTGTCTCCTCTCAAAAGGATTCAGGCCCTGGAGGCCCAGTCAGATGAGTTTCAAGTCCCTTCCAATCCCAAAGTTCTACAAGGTCCCATCAGGGTAGGATGAAAGGATGCAAGACAAACAACTGAGCCCAGACTTCAGGAACTCACAGCTTTTGTAAGGAGACAGTATCAAAACAAGTGTGATTATTTGCAATTGCAAAAAAATACAAACAACTCAGTGGCTATTAATATGGAACTGGTTAAATAAATGAAGGTACAACCATACAATGAAAATAAATACAGTAATTTTTTTAATTCTATGTTATTGAGAAAGTCCTTAGTATAAATTGTTAAGAAAGCAAGAAACAGAATTTCCACTTGGGTAAAAAAAAAGAATTATTCACACATTTATATATTCAAGGAAAACTTCTGGAAAGAGTCTCAAAAATATTACTAAAACAGCATAGAGAATATAGTTAATAATATGTAACAACTTTATATGGTGACATATGGTAATGAGATTTGTTGTGGTGATCACTTTTTTATGTATATAAATGTTGAATTACTATGTTGTACACCTGAAACTGATATTATACTGTATGTCAGTTTTTTTCAATAAAAATTGTTAAAAAAAATACTAAGTGTGTACGAACACATAGGCGCAGATGTAGGTATACTTGGTCAAGGCAGCAGAGAGTTCTTATCGGAGAAGCAGGCTTGGCCAGGCCCATACTAATGTCCCTTCTAGCTCTGCGTCCTGGGCAGGCTACGGTGGGACAAAACTGGAGGTGTATGTGCAATAGTGACCACAGATGTACTGGGGAAGGCTCCCTGGAGGAGGTGGTGAGAAGGGAAGGCACAGAAGGGCCAGGGTGGTGCTGAGATCTGGGTCTCTGGGTAGGAGGTGGAGATAAGGGGAGGGGTGGGTAGCTGAAGTGAAGCCAGTTTAAAGGCAACCCTGAGATCCAGGGTTGGGTTCACTGGACCTCGAACTGCTGTATGTCCTGCAGTCTCTGGCAGAGAGTGACATATAAAGCTACTAAAAAGTAGGTCACTGTACTCCCAGAATGGGGGAAGAGAAGCAAAAGTGAAAGTTCTTGTTCTCAACCTAAGCTTGGTGCCTAGATGCCACATCTGGTCACTGCTCCCAGCAGGGCCAGTTCCGTGGGCCAGGGTCCCCAGGAAGGGGGCAGGAGGACTTCTTGGTAATCAGGAGAGGGGCTCTCTCTCCCCACCCCTGGCTGGGAGGCATGGTGGCCCCACAGCCACAACTCTAGCTGGCCCCAGGAGTCCCCTCCCCCAAAGGCAGCCAGTCCAGTCCACAGAGCAAGGCCTCAGCCTTGGGAGACAAGATATCACTAGTGACCATACCCAGCAAGAGGCACACCCCACTTCTGTAGAAAAACCCAAGAACACAGATAAACGTAAGGAAAAAAGTCACAGAAATCCATCCATCATGCATTAGGCAGGGAGAGCCCTCATGGCGAACCCACAATGGGGAGAGGCCAGGGATGATGTCCTTATTTTGTAGGAGGGTAAACTGATGCTCAGAGAGGTCCCACAGGCCCAGGGTCCCAGCCCGGAAGAAGGAAGGTCCTTTCTCCTGCTTGCTGGCCAGCCGTTCTGGGTACTGGGCCTGACATTAACTTCTCGCCACCTTGTAGGGACTTCTGTGTACCCATTTTTTTGATGAGGAAACTGAAGCTCAAGAAGGGAAGTTGCCACAAATGGTCCAGGGGTGGGCCCATGAAGAGGGGAACCCTGTCCTGTACCCCACACCACTCCCAAGGGGCATGAGACAGCGAAAGCACAGAGGGGAGACCAGAGGATCCCCAGACCTAGGAGGAGGATCAGGCACAGGGAGGCTGGCCAGGGCCTTCGACTCTCTGAGCAGGGAGAAGGGGAGGAAGGAAGCGAAAACAAGATTTCTCAAGAGCCTGCTCTGTGCCACACCCTTTATGGACAGACCTGCCCAAGGAGCCCCAGAGGAAATCAGCAACCGTGGGTGGAGAAGCTCCAGGGGCAGATTTGGGGCTTCAGGTCAGAGCTGCTGAAAGGTGGAAGGAGCCGCCTGGTATAAAGGGAGCTGCTTGCCCCTGAGGGAAGGCGCAGGGCTGGGCTCTGGGGCAGAGGGTACAGGCACTTCAGGGGGTGCTGAACGGGGACTCTAGAAGGTGCCTTTGGGTCTGAGCTTCTAACTGCCTGATAAAAACGCTGACACCTGTGCCCCTCGTCCCTCCTGGCTTTGCGGGACAGGCTCCTCTCTCAGCCTCCGTCCTCTTCCGTAGCTCCCTCAGCCCAGCCTGACTCATTTCTCTGGCCTCTCCAGACTCCCAAAAAAGGCCCAGGACCATCAAAGGCCAGGGCAGGAACTGTGGACAGGTCCCTTTCTCCCCTTAGAGAGAGGCTAAGGGACCTGGTCCTGCCTTTGGCACAAAGCTGGTCTTGCTAGTTTATCAGGAAGACAAAATTAACACCTTAGGTCGGGGAGGGGCGGAGGGTTGAGAAAGGAAAGGAGGGAAGGGAAGGGAGGAAGAGCTCCAGATGGACAGCTCCTACTCTTTTGGCCTGGGTTCGAGGAAATTCAAGAGGCAAATCCCAGCTCTGCCTTTTACTAGCTGTGTGATCTTGGGCAAGTTGCTCAATCACTCTGTGTCTCATTTTCCCCATATATAAAATGGGGGTAACAGGATCTATGTCACAGGGTTGTTTTAAGAATTAAATGAATTAATCTATGTAAATGCTTTAGAACAATGTTCTGGAACACAGTGAAGAGTTACTAAATGTCAACTATAATAATTATCATTACTATTGGGTGGAGACCCTTTTGCCTCTGGCCTGGGGAGAAACTACCTGGTCAGATTCCCTCCCTGATATAAAAGTAGCCGGGCTGCTGGCATTTAAATTGGTCTTTGATGACTTCTTGCAGTTTCTCTGAGCTCGTGCTCTGATATTTGCTGAGTGAATGAGTGCATGTGTGAACAAACAGATGCTGACACCAGCACTGGGAAGGTACTAGGACAGGGGTCTTCTCATTCCAGATGAGGAAACTGCAGTCTTTGGGAGGGCATGTGAATTGCCCAGGGTCACACAGTGAGTCCACATCAGAGCCAGATCTGAGAATGCTCCTCTCTTCACTCTCCTTGCTCAAATTCCGCACACTTTTCAATTTACACACATCTTCTTCTGCCTAACGGCAAGAATGATGACCAGTGAAGAGTTGCTCAATTGCTTACAGGAACAAGGATGCCCCGGAGCATAGAAAAGCAGTCCATTCTCCAGCCCTGAGGCAAGCACTGGGCAAGTCCCTGCCTCTCTGCACCCCGGTTCCCCATCTGTATGAGAAGGATGATATCTGCGGTTTTCAAAGTATCTTCAAAGCAGGAAGCCCTTTCTTTGAATCTGTTTTTTTCAATAAAATAAACAGATGAAAATGGAACTGCTGTGCCTGACCTGACCCTGCAGAGGTGCGAGGGCATCGCCCAGTAGAAAATTCCTGGGCTAGTTGTTCCCTAAAGGCCTTTCTGCTCTGATAGCTTTTGGTGCTTGGAGATGTGCACTGAGGGACACTAAGATTCTTAGAGATAATTGGAGGCTGTGTAAAGGTCACTATTGGGCCACAGTCCAGGCTGAGAAGCAGGCAGGGGAGCAGGAAGCAAGTGGTCAGTGTGGCAGAGGGGAAAGCACACAGCTGAGAAGTCAGAGAGCTGAGTTCAAATCGCAGCTTGTCCATATAACAGTCAGGATATGAGCTTGAGCAAGTTACTCAACATCTATAAATCCATAAAATTAATAATAGCCACATTACTGGGCTGTTACAAAAAGTTGGTGACATACATAAAAAACCTAGCTCAAAGCCTGGCATGCAGAAGCTTATTAATTGGTAATAACTATTATTACAGACTAGAAACCTCCACTGAGCCCAAGGCCATTGCCTTTCTCTGCGTCCACCACATTTGCTGCAAACTGAAACCCAGCAGGGAGACCAGGGCTAGCAGCAGGACCTCAGGGCCTCTGGGCAGAGCGTCTGCTGGAGTTTAAGCTGTATCAGTTGCATGATACTTTTTCAGCAATGCCCGCTACCCCAAGCAGCTCTGAGGTATAGCTGAGGTTAAGGGTTAAAAAGAGGCTGGCTCCTATATAGTGATGAGGAAACACGCCTCGAAGAGGCAAGGGACTGGCTCCTTTCCACCATCTTTATAGAACCACATAAAGCCCACGTGGACACACACTGGTAAGTGCTTCTGACCCTGTGTGTGCAGACAGCCTCAGGCCAGTGGCCTAGAACTTCAAGGATGGTCCTGTGTCACCTAGGAAAGTCACTCTCTTGGGGACCCTTAAGGGGGACAGGCACTGTCCTGGGGGCTCAGCCTTTGGGGTAGACAAATAAAATGCAGGTGGCAATGAGAGTGATAGGCCTGGGCCAGCACTCTGGAAGGTGCCTGGGTATGTGTGAGGGGTGGTGGCACCTGTCTGAACCATCTGTGACCTGCCTTCTGCCACTGCCCCCACCTGCTGCCGAAACCTGCCCACTTCTTCACCTCCACCCTAGAAGGTGTCACCACCATCCTGCACCCAGGCTCACACTGCTGATCCTTGCCTCTCATTCAGAGAAGCTGGTCACCAAATCTGTTTGAGGATACCATCTCAAAACCCCATCCCCTCCTCTCCACTCCCCTTAGATGCCTCCTTCGTCACTTGCCTGAGTAACTCCAGTAGCCTCCCCTGAGCCCTCACCTCCGGCAGATCCCCATATGGTCCCCTCCATACCCACTCCTCAGGCACAGCTCTGGTCCTGCTGCTTTCAAATCTATGTCTCCCAGTGGCCCCCCTGGTTCCACGGTAAGGCCCAGGTTCCCAAGACCCTCCTGGAGCTTTCAGTGATCCCCTCTGCAGATTCCTCCTTTCCTTGAGCTTCCAATGCTCTTCACCTGCCCGTCTTGTGGTTTGAATCACCTTCTATCTCTTACTGGAGCCACGTACTGCCTGTCTGCTTCCCACTCCCCATCAGCTTGATTATTCATTTCACAATCCAATAAATACTCCTGAAGACAGTGGCTACGCCCTCACAGCAGTGGGTTACGATTTGGCACTGATAGATGGTGGAATGGAGGGAAAAGAGGGACAGAGAAAAGGCAGGAAGAAGTGAGGGAGAGAGGAAGGGACAGATGGGGGAACAGATAAAGAATGGACACGCAGATGAATATGAGCAGCTCTGGAAGGCTATTTCTTAGGGAAGAAGCCAGAAACAACTGAATAAAATGTAGCTGTAAAGAATTTGTGGATTTTTCTCCTCATTTACAGAGAAAGGAGTTAATTTCTCAGAATGCTCTCACAACTGCCATGCTCTTCTCTCATCACCGCCTATCATCCGTTCTTTAACCACATGACTAATCCTCATGTCACCTTTCCATGATATGAAGGGCCCTCAGGATCATACAGGCCACCCTCTTTGTACAGATGGGGAAACTGAGGCATAGCGAGGGAAGGATTACTGAAGTTGCTCAAGATCACACAGCAAGTGATTAGCAGAGCCAGAGCTGAAAGCCAGTCCAGTCACTACAGGAAAGGCAGGTAAGGATCAATGCTAGGGAAAGCCACTTACTCCCAATCCTGGCACCTCAAGAGCCCAGATCTTCAGAACAGGTTCAAGAGGCCCAGCCTCACTCACTCGAGGCTGACAAGCCTAACTTCCCTCGAAGCAGAACAGCTGTTCATTAAGAGCCTCTTGTGAGGCAGCAACTATGCCAAGATAGACATGGCCCCTGGCCACCAGGAGTGAGGAGTCTATGGGAAACAGGTCTACGGCTGGTAGTGTCCCAAGCTGACTGCTGGGAGGGCTGCAACAAAGATATCGAGAGGGGCCGTCCCTCTGCTGGGCGAGGGAAGAGGAAAATGGGCGTGGGTGGTATCTGCCCAGGAGTTGAGCCTAGAAAGATGGGGAGTATTTTCAACTGCAGAAAAGTGGGAGAGGCAGAGTGTTGGTGGTGAGTGCTGGGAAAGGGAACCCAAGGGAAGGGCCTAGCATACCTGCCTCAGGATCTAAGTGGGAAGGTGAGGGGCTTGACCAGCTCCCAGAGGGCCCCAAGGCAGGTGGAGGGGTGTTTACTCTCCCACCCGCAGACAATGGGATGGAAGGTGTTGGGAAGTGACAGGATGAAATCTGCATTTTAGAAAGTTCACGGGGACAACCACAGTGCTGAGGATGGGCCTCCACTGGCGAGAGATAAAGGGGAAGCGTGACGCCCTACCAGGGTGAGACCTGACTGAGCCTGGCACAAACGGGACGCTCAGGGGAGGAGGGACAACGACTGAAGGAAAGGATGCTCAGAGTTGCCCTCAGGAGGGCTGGTTGGCGCCAGCTGCTTTGCAGTGAGAGATGTTGTCATAGTTTGGTGGTTTTTTCCAACTCGTAACTCTGTCCCCCTGAAACAAAGCAAAAGCCACGCCTCGACAGGGCAGAGCGCTAATCCCATCAGTGCCTGCAAGCCCCCCTGACGCCATCTCTGGCTCGCGGCCAGGGGGACGCTCCCTCGGCCTCGCCCGCCCTCCTGCTCCTGGGGGCCGACGGCCGCCCCTGCTGCCCGGCTATCCCGGAACCTGCCCACCTCCGGGAGCTTCCCCCGAGCGCCCTTCCATCCCGCATCCGGGCTCCCGCCGCGCAGCGGGCGCGGAGTCCCCGCGCGGAGGCGGCCGCCCTGCTCCCCGGACATCCAGCCCGCCTCGGGCGACGGTGACGACGAGGAGTCCGGAGCCCGGGGCTCTCCAGCCGGCCCGCACGCCGGCCCGCGGCTCACCTGACTTGCCCATGGCCGGCTCGGCGCGCTCCGGAGTTCCCGCTGCCGCTGCGCTCCTTCTCACCGCCCCCCAGCTGCTGGGAGGACGGAGGCCGGCCGGTCGCAGCCCCTCCCCCGGCGCGGCCCGGCCCCCGCCTTATAAGGCCGCGGCAGCTGCAGGCGTTGACGCCCGGGGTTATCCCGCCGGCTGCCCGGAGGAGGCGCGCGCCCCCGCGCCGCGAAACCCTCCTCCTCCGGCCCCGAAGAACTCCGCCTCGAAGGGACCCCAGTGACCGCCCGGGGTTCCCCAGGTGTGACCGGGAGCCCGGGGCCTCCTGGATCCCAGCACCAAGCAGCCCTCTTGGGACACGTAATGGGGGTGCGTAGGGAAACTCGCGCTTCTCTGACGGTTCCCAGTAGCTCCTCAGAGGCTAACGTGCTGCGAGGCCCGCGGTACTCACTGTCGAGGCGCGAGGGTTGGTTCCAGCCCGCGTCACCAGGGCCGGTGCTCTCCCCACTTTGGCCTGACTTCCGCAAATACCACGAGCGTGCCGCCTTCTCCCTGATAACACCGGGCTGAGAAAGGCATCCGTGACCCCTCCCCAGGGCAGCCCCGCCGGCGCGAGTAGTCCCGGTTGAAGTTGGCACTCTCAGGGAGGATGGACCAGCGGGCTCTGACCTGTCCGCTTGTCCCTCATTGCCTGCCAGACCAAGCCAAATCCCCCACCTCGGAGGGCTGGGCCCAGACCTGTCTCCTCAGCTCCCTACCTTCATCCCAGTCCCAAGACTAGACTTCTTAACAGTCCCCGAACGTGTGCTGAGATTTCCCACCTCCTCACCTTTCCTCAGAGGGCTGCTCTCTCAGCCTGCAGTGCTGGCTCATCTCTGCCCACGCAAGTCATCATCCCTCAGGGCCTTTGGGTCCCTTCAACCTCCAGAAGCCCTGACCTAGAAGGCAGTGGTCACTATACACCTGGCACTGGGGAGACTTGGCCCTGGTCATGGCCCCACTTCTGTGTAAGAAGAGCACTGGAAGACGCAGATGGTCACTTGTATGACCCCCCCACCAGAGTGACTACTTACTGGGGAAGGGACTCAGTAAATCCTAACTAAAGGAAGCTTATTTTAAGACCTTTCAATAAATGGATCCTGAAGTGAACTGACGTGCTGACTATATAAAGGTAGAGGTTGCAATACCAAGGCTTCAAATGCCCATTAGGGCAACAGGAAGGCTGGACACCACTCTGTCTACTCCCTCACTCCATTCCAGACAAACGCACTTACTGTATTTTAGTCTGTTGAAACAGTGTTAGAAAGTATGGCTCATTCTGAATGAAAAGGGACTTCTGGTGTTAGGTGGGGCTCTAATCACTTATGCTCAACTTCCAATTGCCAACAAACCCCCTGACACGACCAAATGAACCCAGAAGGAAGAATCCACATCACCTCTAGAATCTCTGGAAGGCTGTTTCCACTGTACCCAAAATTTCAAGGCCGTAGGTGGAGAAGGGGAGTGCAGTGGTGCCACTCACTGCACGCAGAGGAAAGCCCATCTGGGGACCACCAAGTTCCATTCAAATCTCCTTGTACAGAGGTGAGGGCTGAAGTGAGAGAGGGCCCAGGACTGGGTGGGGGACAAAATGCAAACTTCATGGCATTGTTGGAGTCTGTGTGGGGTTGTATCCTATGGGCCTCAGAGCTGGCCTTAGCAGCAAGCACAGAGTAGGGACAGTGTGCTGAGTGGATCTGGGGCAGTGCCAGAGTTGCCTCCTACCAAGAGCCATGGGCTGGTTGGAGGGGAGTCACTGCCCAGCTGATTCCAGCTAGTGTCCAGGCAGCAGACAGAGACAAAAGAAATGGCAACAGAAGTCAAACACAAAGTGTTTGACCAAGGTTATCATTTGTTTAATGTCCTCTTTAAGAACTCCCTACCTACTCTAAGATCAAGAAAAGTTGCTGTTTTCTTTTAGAAGTTTTACAGTTTTTAGCTTTTATATTGATTTTGATTATGGTGTGTGGTATGAAATCAACTCTTTCTCAATCTCTCATTTTCTTTTCTTGTTTGGCATATGACTATCCAATTGCTCCAGTATTATTTCTTAGATTATTCTTTCTCAGTTTGTCATATATATGTGGGCCCTCTATTCTGTTCCATTGATCTATGTATATATTTTTATACTTATACCACATTGTCTAGATTACTGCAGCTTTACTGTAAGCCTTGAAATCAGATACTGTTAACCCTCCTACTCTTTTTTTTCTCTTCAGAGTTGCTTTGTTCATATTAATCCTTTGCATTTTTGTATAAATTTTATAATCAACTTGTCATTTACCATAAAACGAACAAAAAGCCTGGTGGGATTTTGATGTGGATTGACTTGAATTCATAGATAAACTTGGGGAAAACTGACCTCTTAACAGTACTGAGTTTGCTGACCCATTAGTATGGTGTCTCTTCCTGCTTATTTACATCTTCTTCAATCTCTCAGCTTGTTTTGTGGGCTGTTGCTCTATATTTAGTTTTCTAGTCTTATAATGTCTTTTTCAGATCTGGGGGTCAGGGTAATGTTGGGCTTATAAAAGAACCTGGAAAGGAAGAGTTTGTATAGAATTAGTATTATTTCCTTCTTAAATATTTGCCATAACTCATCAGTGAAGCCATCTAGGCATGGAGGTGTTTTTCTTTTTTTTTCTTTTTGAGGGGAGGTAAGGTTTTAAATTACAAATTCAGCTCTCTTAATAGGAATTTGTCCATTTCACTCATCTGAGTGGTGGTATTCATAGGAAAAAAGTTGCTAATATTTTGTTATTCTTTTATTGTTTATATGATGTGAGGCGATGTCCCTTTATCATTTCTGGTATTGGTAATTGTGACTTCCAGAGTTTTATCAATACAGTCAGTCTTCATTATTTGTGGATTCTGTTATTTAGGAATTTACCTGCTTGCTAAGATTTATTTGTAATCCCAAAGTCAATACTTGTGATGCTTTCATAGTCATCCAAGGACATGCACAGATGGAAAAATTTGAGTTGCTCAACACACAAGTTCTCAGCTGAGGTTGCTCAAAGGGATGCTCTTCTTGTTTCAGCTATCATACTGTAAACAAATGTCCTTTTCACAGTCTATTGAGTACCATGATTTTTGCCTTTCTGTGTGTGTGTGTTTGTTTTGTTTTGTTTTGTAATTTTGCTTCTTAAAATGGCCCCCAATGAAATGCCGTGAAGTGGTCCTAAGAGTATGAAGGCTGTGGTGTGCCTTATGGAGAAAATGTATGTGTTAGGTGAGCTTCACTCAGGCATGAGTGATAGTGCTGTTGGCCATGTGTCCAATGTTCATGAATCAACAATATAAATTCCATAGGGTGTCTTTAAACAGAGACAACATTAAGACAAATTATTATTGACTGGCTGACAAAATGTGACCAGAGGCCAGCAGGAACCTAACCTTGTATTTCCCCTAGAAGCAATGGTTCAGTATTCTCTAATTCAGTGTCCCAGCAACTTTATAGAACTACTGGAAATAACAAGAATCAACTGCAGTATTGATCTCAAACAGCTTTTTGTTTCATTGATTTTTCCCATTTACTATTTCATTGATTTCTCTTTTTGTATTTATTACTTGTTCTGTTTATTTTAGATTTAATTTGCTTTTCCTTTTCCAGCTTCATAAGATAGTAGCTGAGGTCATTCATTTTAAGCCTTTCTCCTTCTATAATGCAAGTATTTAGTGCTATAAATTTCCCTTTAAGAGTGGGACTTTAGCTGCATGTTACCAAATTTTGTATGTTGTGTTTTCATTTTCATTCAGTTCAAAATAATATCTAATTCCCCTCATGATTTATTCCCTCATGATTTACGAGCGATTTTTAAATGCTATTTAGTTTCCAAGTATTCAGGAAATTTCCAGGTATCTTTCTGTTACTGACTCACACTTTGATTCTGTATGGACAGAGAATATACATAGTATGGTTTCAATCCTTTCTTACATTTATTGAGAATTGTTCTATGGGCCATAAATATGAGAATATGTTCATGTAGCTTATCTTGATAAATGTTTTGTGTATCCTTGACAAGACTGTGTGTTCTATTGTAATTGGATAGAATGTCCCATAAATGCCAATTAGATAAAGTTGATTCATAGTGTTGTTCAAATCTTTTATACTAAACTCATTTTCTGTCTACTTGTTTTATCAAATAATGAGCGACTGGTGTTGAAACCTTCAGCTGTAACTGTAGTTTTGTCTATTTCTCCTTCATGTTCTAATCAGTTTTGCTTCATGTGCTTTGAACCTTTTTTATTGGGAGCATAAACATTGACAATTCTTACACCATCTTGATAAACTGACTCTTCTCATTATAAAAGGACTCTATCTCTGGAAATATTCCTTCCTGTGAAATCTAGTTTGGTAATATTAAGGTAGTAGTTCTAGCTTTCCTTTTAATTAGTGTCAATAGGTTCATCTAATTTCCATCCTTTAACTTTTTTTTCCCTTCTTTCAGCAAGTTGGGTCTTTCTTTTTTATCCAGTCTGACAATAGCTACCTTTCAGTTTAAGACCATTTCTATCTGATAACATTATTTTCAAATTTCTATGGAACAAACAGAAAAGTTGACCATATATTAGGCCTTGAAGTACTCCATGGTAAATTTCTGAAAGTAGAAACTTCAAATTTTCTGAACACAATGTAAAAAAAGTAAGCTTAATAACAAAAAATTAACTGAAAAATGTTAACTATTTAGAAATTTTTAAAAAGTCCCTCCTGGAGTATGAAAGGCAAAATCAAACAGATGTTCAGAGATGAATGACGATTAGAGCACTGACTTAAGACTATGGGGCGTGGGTGTGAAGTCACGTGGCCCTAGACCAAGTTCCAGCTCCTCTGACCACCAACTCTGGTTCTGACACAGGTGCTTGAAATGAAGATCGTAACACTTGTCTAAGGGGATTTTAAGTTTTTTAGATTAAATGAGATGCTTAAAAGCACTCTTTAGAACATCACTTATTTTTGTGTGTGTATTATTTCACAGTCACAATTTAGGTATGTAAAAAGACAACTTTGTTTCTCTGTAGAGATAAAGCCCAAATTCTGCTGATGGTGTTAAACTTAAATTTGTGCATTGAAGGAAACTCAGTCACATCTATATTTCAACCCTTGGGGATAGATAGATT